ATTCATCTCAGAGGGGAGCAGCCCGATGGCAAACATGGCCCATACCTCTGTTTCCTCCCCCAGCGCCTCACTCCAGCCCTGCAGTCCCACCTCTCCCGTCGCACCATGTCGCATCCCCGTGGAAAATCCTCAGCAGCTCACCACAAGGAGCTCGGAAGGATTGCTGGCATTGATGGCCGACTGTTGGCAAACAGGGTCCTCCCCAGGCTAGGGATGGGCACACCATTATCAAATATTAACCTATTGTTAAATTAATGTGATTATAACAAGAAAAGGTTCTTACTCAGAATCTGTTGCTTCTCTCGAAGCACAGTCTTGGCCATGGTTGACCTCTTCATCCACACAACCACGTCACGGATTTTTGATGGCCATTTTGCCACTGAAGAAACTGTGTACACACTTTGAGCCCCAAGATTTAGGGCATGTGCAAAACAGCCTATTTTAAGGAGATGAAGCTTTTGTACTGCCACATTCATGTTATAGGCATGATCCACTGCAAGATAGCTGCAACTTTGCTTCTTACCCCAAATTCATCTAAAATGTCCCCAATTTCTTCTGTTACCACTTCCTCTGTTTGTGCTCTGTACACTGACTTTGTTTTAAGGACTTTCTGTTTCATCTTTCTATCTGTGATGTAATGTGCTGTGACTGTAATGTAATGATCCTGGTAAATGCTTGTCCAACAATCACTGGTAAGTGAAAGTCTGCTGACATTTTCCAATTCTAATTTTATTTTTCCTTTTTCTATGTTGTACCAGGCTGGGATCAAATGATTGGACATAGCATCCCTGGAGGGTGGGTTGTATTTGGGATTTAGGGTCTTGGTCATCTCCCTGCAAAGAAAATGTGCACTTAATACTACACCTATCTAACCATAGTTTACTGTAAAATATATTGTTTCTGATTGCTTTGACACACAGAAGAATATCAATATCAGCTCTAGTAGTCCTAGTCCATTGATTGTCTGAAAAACTGAGACCCTATAATCGCCATTACATTTTGCATACCTAAACGATGGCGACTCAAATGTAGCAAAAGGATGTAATCCCTTCACCACAAATCTTGTCACTGCCTTGTGACATTCATTGAGTTTCTCCTTGCTCATCTGTCCCTGGTGTCTGTCATCTTTGCTTTGTACCTAACCTGAGTGTCCGATGCTGATGCTAGTGCTGCTACCGCTAGCTGCTTCTGGCTCATTGTCCCTGGACTCACCGCTGGCGCTGGGAGGGTTGAACACAGTGCATTCTTTTAAATTAACCCCGTGTAAAAGCAAATGGTTCCTTATGCTTGTCATTCCTCCCTTGCTTGAGATTTGTTTGCCACACATTTCTTTAAAGGAATCGATTCTCGAGTCCCATCTGTACCCCAGGCAGACTCAAAACCTTGTAAAAAGTATAAAAATACAATCTACAAATCTACTAGAGTTGGTATCCTGCCAGATACAGACTGAATCTGTTGCCAGATA